GTGCACTGACCATGCCAGTCTCTGACCTTTATTTCTTGACCTAAAGAATCACTTCCCGTGCTCCCGCATGGTTGCAGAAGGTATACTGTGCATTGTTTTCTTTTTCGACCAAGTAAGTCTCGTCATTATAATCTTGTGAAGACGACTTGCACTCGAACGGCTTTTGACCGAGCAAGGGTTTTTGTAATAAATTCAAGCTTTTTTTCTCAATTGCTTCTACACATGAATATGTGCTGTCCGTAGATCGTGACAGCCCATTCTTTCATTCACATATAATGCGGACGATATAAAGTGGCAAAGCATGTCGAATCATACCGTGCGAGAATAAATTAGTCTCTTTTACATTTTCTCAATTATTCTTAGAGTGTTCTGTAAAATTTTGCCAATGCCTCAATCATTTCCTTGATTTTTTTCATCCCTACGAAATTGTTATCTTAGGAAAGGCATTCCTTGCGCTATGCGTGGTAATTTATTTGCAAGCATGGATGCAGTTCGATTCTTGCACGTGCACTCCCGCGCCAGAGGTCTGGTGCTTATGGTGCTGAACTGTTGACCCGCAAGTCGCAAGATCGAATGCCGGCAGTTCACGGCGGCCACATTTTTGGTGGACGAGAAATAGTGCGAGACCTGTGTAGTTAGACTTAGGTGCACCTTAAGTATAACCCCATGTGGTTTGAATTTTCGGAGACCTTTGGTACGGCGTCTCTAGTGATTATATGACAACTTTGGGACGTTAAACGGAACAATTTTTATTGCAACAATTATAGATGTACACCCTTCTGTTCTTCAACACCCTCACGAACGGCATAACACCCTTATGGCAATTACACCCTTCGCTGAGGGTGTACCAGCAAAGAAAAAAGTGTTACATTCATTCAAAAAGGGTGTAAATCTGTGAAACACCTTTTTACACCCATAAGGGTGTAAAATTTTTACTGTGTATAATAGGTCTTTCATCTTGGGGCACTGCAGAATAAGCAGTATACAGTCAAACCTCAATATATCGAACATGGATATATCGAATTATTGCCTATCGAACGGTTCCTATATCACGTAGGAAATCACATGCATTATTGATTTTTTATTTCGAACAAAGTTTGACATATAATGGATATATTGAACTCAGCCACCCTAAACCGCCTGCGCTCCATTGACAGGCGGCGAGCTTTCCTGCAGCTCTCGAAAGTAGCGGTAGAGCGGCGGGCAATTACGAATGCTGCACACATCGATAGGGGAGACCCGTTCAAGTTTGCCCGGCAACGCCAGCGCTTGCCTTTCCCCTGCCAGAAAAAGCGCACAACAGTAGAGTCTTCCGACCCTTCCGCTCCCTTTGGCTTCCACGCATTTGCGAAGCACGCGCTGCACGTGAAACGTCCCTAGTTCCGCGATGTCACCCCAATAGAAAAGGGGGTGACATTGCTGCGTCGTCAACTGTCAGAATAACCATGAAAACACGAAGAGGTCGACTCTACCAGTGAAATTCTACCGATTCCCAAACCGATGGTACGAAACTAGCAGACGACAGAAATAGATTAAAGCACTGCGCCGAAAAAAGTATGTAAACCATTTTTTTCAGAAAAATTAGCACACGCACAATGCATTCAAAATTACGGGTGTTAATTCCTGCGTCACCGTCGTCCCCATCTTAAAAGTATAAATTTTCAACGCCCGTCTTCAGAGCACTGTTAAAAAATACCGAAGAAATATTTTATGCTGCTACTATTATTCGATATTGTTGGGGAAGTAGTTGAAGCTGTGTGCACTGGTGGTATTGGTAATGTGTTGTTATATATTTTTAAATCTACGCAGCGCCGAAGGAAGTGTGTGGTTGCCAAAAGCTTGGACAACTATGAAAAAAAGAAAAAAATGCATTAGTTGTGGTTGCACGTCCGTTGGCAGATACAGTGAATTAGTTGTTACTGAGTGTGCAGGGGTAGCCCGAACAACACGGTGCATTTTTGATACGTGACCAAGATAAAATGCCTTTATAGCTATGCGCTCTTCCCCTGCAGATTAGACACACACAAAAAAGTTTCTCTGAAAGCTGGGCGCTCATCATGATGGTACGCACGCTGTTCGTGAACTCAAGGTACCCGCGATGAGAACGGTGATAATACAAGGAAAGACACGCAAGATAGATGTCAATTTTCGTTGTGGGTTAGAAAGAAGCCCCAAGTAGACCATTTATTTTTGAAGTGCTGTGTATATACCGCGCGATAACTTGGGTGGGTGCTAGTAAATTAAGGTATCCCAACTAATAGCAGTCACAGCGCAAGAACCGCTTAACCTAAAGCACGAGAAGCGGCCTTACCCATGCATCCAGTAACAAACATAGTGCATAGTACACAGAGTAAACCAAATAAAACAGGTATATAATTATGAACGTACAGAAAGTTTTATTCACCTCTAACGTCGTAAACAGCGTCGTCTTTCACTTGCGAAACACACTTCGCTCTGACGAGGACGGCGTCGTCTGCTACAACTTGCTTCGCTGCCCTTTTACCAAATTGCTGCCACGAAAAAAAAAATCCTCAATTGCGGCATCCTATTAAATGCGGACAGAGCGCATACATCATAACCGCGCGCGACGCGAGACTCTCAAAAACACGGGCAGAACGCGTGCAGCGTGCGAGCAAAGCAACGCGTTTTCAATCAGGTTGAATGGGACAGCGGAGAGGCCAACACTCGAGTAACCAGTTTTCTCCCTGCATTGACTGACAGCGCCACGCTCCGCAGCGCCTCCCTCGGCGTGGGTCTCCTCTATGGCACCGAGAGCACCACTTTAACGTAGCAGCGTACGCACGTCGCAGTCTTGCAGTAGAGGTTCTTGAATGAGGAAAGTGAAGAGAAAAGCTCGGAGCTGTTATTTTCTTTCAATACGAAGGCACCGAACCGGCTTCGCGCGGGGAAGGGGGAGTGGGAGGTAAAGATTGAGGAGGAAAGTATAGGAGGGAAAGAATGCAGACGACTGTCTCGGACGCAGCCCGCGCTGCCGCCGGGAAAGGGAAAGCAATCAGGCGAGCCGGCATGGGCGCGCCATGTGCGCGTTTTACACCAGGACTCACGCCACAGCCTTGCAGCTTGCAGTCTCTATGGTGTCAACGGCACACTGCGCACTTGTTGAAAGCTCCTCACCCGTAGCATCGGCAGACATCGGTCGTTGTGTTCGCAGTGTTCGTGCGTTCGGAGTTAGGCCTGTCGCGCACTGTTCGGAGTTGGGCGGTTCATTGGTCGTTTTCAGCAAGCTGTTGACGCATTTTTTTCGTGATTTTTTTATATCGAATTCTGGATATGTCGAACTATTTCGCGATTGCCGTGCCGTTCGATATATCGAGGTTCGACTGTACATATACATGGATTTCTACGAGAGGTTAAACAGAAGTCGAAAAAGACCGCATTGTAACCGGACCTGTTCTATAAGCGGTTATGTTATGAATGGTTAGGGAGCAGTGAAAACGTAACAGACGGATGGCAAAACCAAAACTTCCAAAGTCAATCAAGTTTGCATTGAAGTGCAGTGGTAGAGAATGAGGGGAACAGTTGGCCCAACAGGCCCTCGCACGCCTCCGATGCAGAAAGTTGTTCATGCCATGACGGGAGCGAGTATTCTCACACTTTTTATTCTTAGTTATTTTCATTTTACAATTCTAATCATAAAACTTCAGTGGCAGAGGAAATGTGTCGAAAAGCATATTATATGCATTGTCATGCTACATAACAAGAAGTATGCTACTTATTGCAAAACTGTTTACATATTTGCAATCAGCATAAAAACCTATGTGAACAGCTGAGGTTTCATTGCTCTAGGCTATAGATTAAAGAAACTCTTTTTTTCATGCAGCACCTCCCTCAAAATTTCTACTTCTTTTCTCTACACTGATTAAATTACTTTTTGGGCTCACTGCAGTCTCATCTAAAATTTTTTTCATATTCGCCGCAAGATCTAGCTACAGGTGGCAGCACTATTGCCACGTCAGATAGGTGGTTGACGGCGTATATACAAATGGACACAGTGGAACTTCGCTGTAGGTGCTGTTTGAAGCTTGCGCCCGGCTTTTGACAGAAATAGCCTTGCCCTGGCCATGTCAGGTAATTTGCTTGCCTAATGGTGACATATTTGTCCTGCACTGCCACAGTAATGCATGAAACTGGAATAAAATTCTTATTGTATGCGACAGAAGCACAATCTGCCAGTCAATGGGTCACTGGCCTTCAGTCACAGTAGTGTTGTGCACGGTGCTCGATGTATTTTCTTGCTTTATTTGTTCATGTTGAACTTGTGTTCTACTTGTATTCTGGATGTGTAATAATATGAATAGTGTGTTGTGCTACTGAGACAAAGAGATGTTTACTTCATCTAGTGGCTACAAGAAGAAGCCTGCATTTCTGCTTAATTAGATTAAAATGGAAGGTATATTACACCTAGCACCATACCAACACATGCAAGCACTCTTCATTAGGGTGCACAAAGTCTATGCAGGCAAAATGCTTGTGTAAATTGTATAGGCATATATACAAATATGTCACATTGTGCAATGGAATAAGCTGCCTTCTAGAGAGACCATGACTTACACATGCGAACGCTCTGTGACTGGCAACACAATGCAAGGAGCCATCCACACGGCGAAGTTTCTTCTACTCGCTACTAGATGCAGACTCTGTTTGATCTCTCACTGATAAAAGGCAGTGAAGTTGCCAAAAAGGGCGGTGTCGCATACCTTTTTTTTTATTTTCCTGATCCCTGCATACGGGCTGTGCCATCCATGAAACTGCGCAAAGAGAAGTGAATGTGTGCTTTTTATGCCAGATAGGCCTTCTTCAATTTTGGGCTCTTTGGCTATGAATACAGCAGCCATTTTAAGAACTACGGCGTAATCTGGTTTTTCTCTTGAAATCTTTACCCGACACAATGATGTAAGCCGCATATCTTGGTCAATTTTGCACAGAAAAAAAGTGCTATCATTACACAAGTAAATACAATGCTCAATGATAATGTGCAGGTTCTGGGTACCCTGCTGGAGCACTGGAAGGCAGTGCAGAATGCTGATGGTGATTCACCTGGAAGTGGTTCTAGTGGAAGCGCTGGGCCTCCACTGCTGAAACCACACCCTGCTTCTCCTCCCCCAGACATGTCTCCTTTCTTTTTACGGCAGTATGTCAAGGGACATGCTAACGACGTGTTCGAAGCTTACCCCCAGCTTTTGACAGAGATGGCCTTGCGCCTGCCATACCAGGTAATTTGCATGGTTGATCAAATCTATTGTCTATTAATAATTGTGTAGTGCTCACATTTGTTTATATTTTTATGGCAATGAGAAAATGCTTCCATTCAATGGGAAAATGTTCAGACCACAGGTTATGTTTGACAGGGCAGCCCTCTTCACACTGGTCGCTCCGTCGTAAAGTACGAGCCGCGCCATATTCACACGGGGACACAAAAGAGGAGACAGAGACAAGCGCTGCTAGCAACTGAATTTTTATTTATTTTATTTTTTATTTCCTCCTTTGCTGTGATTGCAGGTGTGCTTCGCTATTGCTAGATAATAAGGCACTTGTACATCATAAAGAATGCTGGCTAATGACTCTAAAAATGCAACGTTTTGACATTCTCTTTCCGATGTAACCCTCTTTTTTGTTCATATTTAATCAATAATACAGTTAATAAATAATACCTGGATGTAGTGCAATTGACAACTTTTCAGAAAAATTCGTTATAAAGAGGATTTTGCTATAATGTATTCAATATGAAAATTAAAAAATAAATGTACAAAAAATTAACAAGTGAGGCACTGAACTCGGACCTAACCCAAAACACTTAGTTAGCAATAAAAAACTGCAATATTGGGATAGCACTTATATGGAAACTCTTAAGGGGGGACACAAGTCTTAGGAGGCCAAAAATCGCAAAAAAAATCTACTTTTTAGAGCTGAAATTTTCGGAATATGTTCCTGTTTTTGCACCTATTGTTTCGTCATTGTTTCTGGCACAAAAACAGTTTATAACATCCCTGTGAGATGAATGTGAGCGCAAATTGACGCTAAAATCGCGCTTTTTCTGCACCAAACTGTTGTCGTTACACACGAGCTATCGTGTCCATCTCAGTCTCGTTTGGAAGGGTCGTTCATCTTCAATTTCTCGTCATCGAGAAGCACTAGCACGTGATCTTATTGGCTGCTTGGGGCATGTGACAAAACATAGGCATCCGATTGGCCAAGTGGTGTTTCTGGCGTCTGCTTCACCATCGTGACGCGCACGGACATGCGCCATTTTGTCATGGTGCTACTGACTGCCGGCGGCAGTAAAGAAGTTCCGTGCGACAGTAATTTGTGAAGCGGGTGTGGCGATCGTTTGTTCGCTGTGAACTTCAGATTGAGCCCCGCCATAGCTCAGCACAATGAGGATACTGAAGTTGCTGCGGTCAACGGCGGTCGCAGAGCCACGGGTGTAGGCCTAACTCACATACGAGCCCGTTGGTTGCCGACAACGTTACTGTTTTGCAGCCTCATCAGTTAGAGGACGGCAAGTAAGAAGCAGAAGTGAAGCTACAAGAGATATCAATCTTTGTAGTGACGAAACTAAAGTGCAGTCTTATCGCTAAACGCACTGATGCCACGGTTCCCCCCCCCCCCCCCCCCCCTTGCCTGACGAAAGGACCTTGAACTGCGCGGCGGGTCATCAGCATGGAGTACGCTGCGCGTCGACACACAACAGAAAGTCAATCCGTTCGCGGTGAACGGGCTCGCTGCCCGCACAATGGAGGCTACTGGCAACAGGTCGACTGCTTTTAAGGGCGTCTTCGCAACGTGTCGTGGTCTCCGCTCGAAAATGTGGCAGTCTTACATGAAAAAGGAAACTTGACACCTCGGCACTCGTGTAGCCTCGAAATTGAAGAGCGAGGGGGCAAGTTTTTTTCGCGACATTTACGAGTAACTAATTCTGGACAAGCCGGAAAACATCGCTATGTTATTCGACGGATCGCTGATGATGCACGCACATTCGTCGCACATTGCCGTCAGTTAATTCAGTCACCGAACTGATAAGCGGCCTTGCAGCTTATGAGCACATGGCGACAACTTGCTACAGGACTAGAAGAAAAGACATCCTCCTGCAAACAATCAGTCCTATTACATTTCCGGTGCATATTAACTGAATAAAAGTATGTGTGCCATGATATTTTTCACTCGGAACGGTGAAATAAAGTTTGAACAGCATTGATCTCGAAGCACAGATTTTGACCACTTTCTTTTGCTTGTTCGGTAAAAGTGGACCTAGGACAACAAGAACTGTAATTGTTTTTGCACAATGTAGCTAAATGTGCACAAAAAAAATAATGCCGAAAGCCTATTTTTAATAGGCAGCTTCATTTTTTTTATTTTATAATAAAATATTTTGTTTTTGTTTACATGCAATGAACTTTATTGTGCTGTAATTTGAGAAGTACTCGTTCAATTATCGATCAGCTTGCAGCGTTGCACTCCTTAGGCTTTCTAGTATCCATATATATGCTAATGAGTATGTAATTCTAACAACATACGTTTTTATGGTTAAAATGCTGGAATTTTTTTTCTTGATGTTATCAAAACAGCGATTATGTACACCCTGCATGAAAATTCGTGCAATATATCGGAAACTACAGATAGCAGAATATTTTTTTTTTTTTTGCAGCATGAAGCTGTATGTTTGGAGCACACCCCATAGGAAGCAGATTTTGATTTCTCTCGATGCAAATTTTTTAGATTAGTCTTTTGTGTGACCACACAATGGCCACATTAAGAGCTATGAATTTTAGTGTACTGTAAAGTATACAATGCATACCCCAACGTTTTAGAACTGCCGTCAAATGCTCCAAGCAGAAAGGAAACCATCTGTCTTGAACAAGCATGGAAAAATGCAGGGGGGGGGGGGGGGGTAGCTATAATACCACTGGTGAACACTGAGTTAAGGGGTGCGGTTGCGATCACTTTTGAAAGCCTGAAGCATCAGGCTTTCAAAGTGAAGAGACTGTGAAAACAGCACTTCTTCCTGGAGCGGCCGTATTTGCTTACACCAGCTTATTGTAGGGGTTCCGCAATCTCGGATCCAAAAGAGTTGGCTGCCAACCTTGCTTTGTATAAAGCGCGAGACAGACGTGCAAATTTCCGTGCGATGTGGCGTGCGGTGTCGCATGGTGCAGCGTGCCGCATGGGACGTTTTGGGACACACGGGGCCGAAGGAGCTATCAGCGGCTGGCTCCACCCCCATGCGGCGCCTTGGCATGCGCGGTCGGATGACTTTGTGTCCTCGTAATGAAGCTCGAAACAAACAACATTGCACAGGCACGCTTTATTACTTAAAAAATAATTAATAAAACGTTTCGTGAATGACAAGCATGTTGCAATAGCGATAACAGCTGATTATTCACGACTTTGACAGGTAGTTCTAGCATGGCGGGCGCCGGCCGTCGCCTACGCCGTTCATACGCGAGCTCGTCATTAAGTGCTTGTTTTTGACAACACTATTAAGCTTTGCACTCGTGTGTAATGCTTGCATACGCTATTACTTTCTCAATGCCATCGATGTGAAGAGCAAAGGTGGAAGCGAAGCGAGCCAGCGCAGAAACTCTGGTAGTCGTGTTCACCTGCGAAATGACCTTCCAACGATGCTCACAATCTCCGGTCTCGCTAACGGTTTCAAAACGGGCGTTGTCGTGCAGGAATGGCACACTTCAAACATCGTTTTATTCAATAGGGAATAATATCACGTCACCAGGGAAATGTACTCGGTTTGTCACGTCGTCGCAGTTGGCGATGTCAGCAAATCTACTCTCGCACAGCTCCATCACAGAACACCTATACACTACTGTTGCTCGATCGACTCGCTTGAACTGGCCTGGATCACGGGCGATGGGAGTGGCTACAGGGAGATGACGCCACTAGCGGTGTGACGTCACTCGTCTGCTCGCGCTGTGATTGGCTGCTGCCATGCAGCGGTGCGGTGCGGCGACCAAAACATCTGGCCGGTTTGATGCTCGCCACACCGGCTATGCGGCAGTGGGATGCAATGATACATCACGAAACGTCACCACTCCGGCTGTCGTATCGTCACACCGCAAGCTGCATCACATGAAAAATCGCACGTCTGTCTCGCGCTTAATATTAGTTTGTTGCTGTCGCATTCATTGTATTGCATTCAACATGCTGTCGTGTTGTTGCCAGGGCTACAGTCGAGCCCGACTATATCGAACAATTCCTAAACACGGCAAGTTTACATTGAGAATATATAGCAAACGTTACTGTTTTATCGAACGAAAATAGCAACGACAACTGATATATCAAACTCCATGTGCCTCAAAAGTGCCCCAGCAAGTTTGCTTTCCCTCGCGGTGGCGGGGAAAACTGCCGGCACCACCCTAGAAAAAGTTGGTTAGACCCGGTTGTGCGCGGGCGAACACCCCCCTCCAAGGAGTGATCCTGGCCCGCTCGCTGCGCTTGCAGCCAATCAGAGGCTGTCGCGCTTTCTCCGAGGCGCGGAGGCGGTAGAAGTGAGCGCCATTTTTTCTTTCTTTATGCTTGTGTGCCTGCTACTGCCGATTCAGCATAGTCTGTGGTGTTGCCTGTTGGTGCTCTGTGAACTGTATTGGCGCGCTGTCATCATGGCTTGCGCAAGGAGGCAAAATTTGCCGTGAAACTCGAAATCATCAATCGGGTTGAGCGCAGTGAAAAGAAGTCAGACGTCGGCGCCGCGTACGAAATTCCAAGGAGCACCTTGAGTACTATCCTGAAGAACAAGGCAGACATCAGGGCCAAGTCGGACAAAAGGCCAGGTGCCCGTGGCGCCTGACGTGTGCGCGCTGCTGTGTACGAAGATGTTGAAGCGGCCGTTTACAGGTGGTTTGTGGACGTTTGGTCGCGAAACATCCCGGTGTTTGGCCCCATGATCGAGCAGAAAGCCAAGGACCTTGCTTTTCTGCTTGGCAGGAATGATTTCCAAGGCGGTTCAGGCTGGCTTCAGCAACTTAAAGAACGGCACAACATCGTTGGCAAAGCTGTTACAGGTGAAAGCAGAGCGGCGGACCTGCACAGCGTAGGAAAATGGCTCGAGGAAAACTGGCAAGATATCGCAGCAAGATATAAAGCCCAAGATATCCTCAATGCGGATGAAACCACTCTATTTTGGCAAATGTTGCCAAACAAGACACTTGCGTGTCGTGGCGACAAGACAAGCGGCGGCAAGGCAAACAAAGCTCGTGTGTCC